CTTGTACAAGAAAGGGCCTGGTGATAGAGCTAAATGGGGCCCAATGTCACGGCCCAAAGTTTATATTCCGATCAAAACTGGGCAACCCATCTAACAGTTGGATGATTCTTAATTACAGATATCTGTTTCATGTACATAGCAGGATTTTTTAGAGCATGTCCATTCATTTATTTTTTATTTTTTCTTTTAAAGGGCAAGGGCAATTATAAACTAGATGTGTCCCTTCATTTTTAAATCATTTCACCTTTTAGAGCATAACTAGTATAGACAAACGAGTTTCTTTTTCTTCGTGAAAATCGTTTTTTGTCTTAACTATATTATGAGTTATTATATATATATATATATATATATATATATATATATATATATATATATATATATATATATATACACACACACACACACTAGGGAAGTTTGAGGGAACACAACTTACCAAGAAGAGACATGGATAAGAATTACAAGTGAAGGACTATAATACAAAGAAACAGAAACCGGATGCCATTTTACATACAATTAAAACTATGTTGCTATTTCTCCGATCTGATGTTTCAACTTGATCTTTCATTTTTCCATCCAAGTTCTTAGTCATGTACGTTAAATGCTTCTTTGTTGCATGATAAAATAAACATAAAAAATAGTAATAAGTATGAATGTAGACATGTGTTGAAGTAACTACCAAAAAACATATGCTTAACATATAAACCATGACAAAATTCTACTACAGCTGCAACTGCATATCACTAATATATTTGAGGCAATAAAGGTTAAAAATTGTTTACATCAAAATGATAAAAATAAATAAATAAATAAATCATGTATCATTACATGCAGAAGCGAGGTCCTCTTCAACTTTAGCACAAAGATTACCACGACCATCAAAGGCTAACATTCTCCTCTTCACCATTGGAGGATTGCCAAGCTTATCGATTACTATTCTAGCACTTTAGAGGTCAAATAACTCTTAGAGTGGCTTTCATAAGCTTTAGCCCTCTCTTATCACCATTCTCATCCGACCTCTTAGATAATTTGTTCAACCTAATATATATTAAAAAAAAAAAACATCATAACAATGAAAAAAAGTAATAAAATGTACAATTGGGTCATGTTACACTGAATTTCCTAGATATGCATGTAGACCACGTACATAAAAATATGAATTTTCCCTTAGATCACTATTTGCTTACTATGATTGTCCGCACCACGGCTCGATGCGCAAACAACACAAAAGACTATAAAGATCTTCCATATTGTTCTACATAAATGAATTTCAATTTGTATAACTAAAACAATTATGAAATAGAAGTGTGTAATTTGAAGGAACCAACTTGTATTTTCTCAGTCTTTGAATATGAAATCTTCAAATGAAAAAAACGAAAATAATGGTTAATAGTCTTACTTTGTAGAGTTCAATGCATTGTAGAAAATGGTAGGGAATGTAAAAAAATGATATGCAATCCATTGAACTCTATAAAGTTCGATGCATTATAGATGCCCTTATGTCCCAACCTTTTACATATTTGCTCTCATTTATTTTGTTTCCTTACTTTAACTCTAGTGTGCATGTCATTTTCTTAAATTTGCTCTGATTAATTTTTTCCCTTCCTTCCATTAAGTCCTAACATTTTACAAATTTACATATACCTTTGAATGAAAATAGTGTGTAGAGAGTAAGTGACAATATATCTAATAGATTACCATGCATCACAGCCATGTTTATTTTCTAGCAACGAAGGGGTGAACCGTGAACAAAAAAAAAACAAAACATATCTGCTTGTTTTGGAAGCCTTAACATTTTAGGTGTCATGACAATACACACTCTTTGCCTCATAACCGCAACCAGAAAAACTCCTAAAATAAGCATCATATGCATGATGAAAAGGTAAGCCTCATGTAAAAGGAATATACATTAAAAGTAAAATCCAAAGTAGATGTAATATTAACATATATACATGTGTTGTTGCGACTAATAGTGTAATAATTAACAAAACTACATGCTAAAAGTTTTTCATGTGAGTATTTTAAAAGATATTAACCTTCTTTCGATGTTCAATGCCTGGTCATCAGTTCCATCCATCATTTGGTGACCATTGTCAATTAGTTGTTGATTTGCCATGGTTGGAGTGTGGACATAGTCGCTCAATTGTTAATCATAAGTGATAAGGTTGTAATTAATATAATAAAATTAAATTTATTAAGAAAACCTGCACAATTTAAATTAACAAATTTAGTGCACACTTCCTGCAGCAATATCAATCACTCAGCGTTATGGAGAGCACATCTGCATAAAAATAAGATAAGAGATGTTAGGACTACAATAAAGCACTAAACTCCAAATTATTTAGGGTTAGTTTTGACCATTTGATGATAATCTTAATAAACCTTCCGATTCAAGTTATAGACCACATGTCTCTCAAAGGAATTTCAAAGAGTTGGTGAGCAACTGTTAAATTAGTGGACTTGGCATGTGAAAAACACCCGGATATTGTTTTTATATCCCCGAAAGCAACATGTGATGATCTAAATAAGTAGAATGAAATATAGATGGAAAACGTGAAGGGAGGCATGAACCTTTGAGCTTGATGCAAAGGGGTTTCTTCCCAAACAAGCTGAGAACGTCAAAGAAAGAACATGATGGCTGTAAAATTGCATCTGCTTGCATTACAATCATATGGTATTTTTTTATTGTATATGAAAGATTCCATTTTCTACAACATATCAACTGTTGATATCCAATCCATTGATGTTTGTGAAGAATCAAAAATTTCCCTATTTAACAACAAATAACAAATTCCACCATAATTCATCATTGAGGCCGCTCAAAGTAAAACAATAATGAAAGAACTTAAAAGAAATATGATTGTATGTAATTTAATCAGATTTAAGAATGTTGCTTTATACCTCATGGCAACAACGTAGTGAAATAAAACGGGGAAGGAAGTGATCGAGAATGCCAAGAGGCTTTGCCTCTTTTTGGTGTTGATGTAGTCCAGGGCTCTTTTCTTGTCGAAGGTAAAAAGAAATGGAAGAAAATACTAATGATGAATAGAATGGGATCGAAAGTGTTTATCAGAGGATGCAATTGACAGTTTTACTTCGGTTAATTGCACATCAAGTAAGAGGCAGGTGGTATCACTGGGGAGGGAGGGAGGGAGGGAGAGAGAGAGAGAGAGAGAGAGAGAGAGAGAGAGAGAGAGAGAGAGAGAGAGAATTCTTCTGATTGTCAACCTAAGGATAAATTCAAGTAGGAGAAGGACATTAAGCACAAGAACGAAAAATTGAATGACATAGCCTGTTAGTAGTAACATAATCACCATTGATGATGGAAGCTGATGCCGTTGAAGTTCTTCACAAAATTGAGACCCAATTTGAGCATAATCTCCTGCAACCATAAAGATAAAAGGAAACAATATTAATAATCAGTGATGATGCATCAAATGTAAACTTCATCATATAAAATAGCATCCTCTCGAACTGTTGTATTAGGGTCATAAAGCTTATGTGACATGTATAGTGTCTCCAAATCAACCCACTCAAATCATCTGCTTTCTCATGGCCACTTCAATAGAATCACTTCCAAAGGAAAATGGCCCAATTAGATTTAAAAATTTATTATAAACCTTAACTACCACTTACTTACACCGAAGGCACAAATCCTATCAAATAGGGCAAACCCAAAATGAAAGAAGAATATGAAGATGCTTGATGAAGGTTAACCTAAATTTCGACAGAGGGTGAGTCAAAGACATCGGCGGTGATGATAGACCACTGTTTCTCATTAAGTTAAGTTAGAGAGAAATGGGAGGACATAATGTCTAAAATACGTGAGCGAAGGAGAAAAGGAGAAATGGTGAACAGTTGTACCTTGAGAGAGAAGAGAGTAGTGGTGTCCTGGGTAAAAAAACATGTCCGCGAAGAGGAATAGAGGTAAATGCATGGTATCGGGAAGCTAAAAAGTATCGGTGGTGGTAAAGAGCTCTCGTCTTGGTGGAGGAAAACCATTGGTGAAACTGGCTGTGGTTAAGCACAAAAGTACGCGTGTTCTATATAGCTGGAATAAATTGATTGGGTTACAAAAATGGTGAGAGTGGACTAACAGAGATTGACGCTCCCAAAAAAGACTATGCGTAAAGTGCACATACAAACCTTAAACCTCAAGCTAAAATTCGAAAAAAAAACACCCCAAAATCCCATCAAAATTCCCCTCTTATTCGGTACACATCCACCTCATCCCAGTTTATTTAATTCCTAAGACATGATGCTTATATATATATATATATATATATATATATATATATATATTATATATATATATATATATATATATATATATATATATATATTCCATTGAGATTAAAAATAATATAAAGATGTTGAAATTCAACCTCAGCCACGTATTTTACATCTGTCGTTTTAACCCTCCGGCATACTGGTGTGGCGGCCTGATATAATCATAAATGATTACATATCGTCACCTGTTCATTTCTTCTCCGCCACCATCCTCACCACCATAACCGCTACCGCCACCACCACTACCACCACCTCTGATACCAGTCGACCCCACAACTGTCACATCTATTATTTATACTACCACCACCTTTATTATCACCAACTCTTCTGCCACCAACTGTCATAATCATTTATGATTACTCAATTTGTAAACAGACATATATCTATAATCATTTATCATTAGGAATATACGTATAAATATGTATAATCATATATGGTTATACCTCTCTGTCATATAATAATTTATTATTAGGCATAACTCGTTGCTACCAGTACACTGGAGCATTAAAGCATCAAATGAGAAATATGTGGCTGAGGTTGAATCTCAAGATTTCTACTTTTTTTTTTTTTTTTTTTTTCAATTTCAAGTGAACCATCCCCTATATATATATATATATATATATATATATATATATATATATATATATATATATATATATATATATATATATATATATATATATATATAGATGTGACCTGGTCATCGGACGATCATGCCTTGTGCCTTGGATGATTCCGATGAGCCTGCAAAGTCACAATTCTCCGGGAGGAGTCTCCTGGGAAAACTTTTCGACGGTTAAGTTAGTATGTAGAATTGGGTGTATCTAGAATGAATTGGGAGGGAGCGACTTACTTTCTAAGGCATCGAGGATGGTCTTTTATATTCAATCCTTCTGCTAGTTTGTACAGGACAAGGGCGTCAGACCCGACAAGTTCGGGGGCGTTGATTGGATAATCGTGCTACTTAATTTGTTAGAGTCAGTGATTGGTTCATGTGGTAATGTTCTGAGTATCTGGCTTGTTGCTTAGATCCGTTACACTTTTTTCACGGAGTGGAAGGCGCCCCTGGCGGGGCAGGCCTTCTCTACGGGCGCCCTGCTCTTAGGGTGCTAGCGGGTGCTAAGTTCCATCGGGTTTGTTCCGCTAGGCGCAACGTGCCTTGGGGAATTCTCTTGCACGTTTGGGTACGACTCTTTGTTCGTGCCAATGACACATCGTAAAGTCCCCTAGTCTAGTATTCATAGTGTTGCTAGACTATCTATGATGTTCTAGACTTAACTGTTTGTTACATGCATCAAGTTCTAAATTAATCTTCGCTTCGGTTTTTCCAGCGATGTGACTACCCATCATGACATTCAGTTACATCATTACGTCAGAGATTTTTAATATCTCTCCTTTCCTTATTCTTATAAGCTTAAGGGATTTCTATATCCACGTCACTTCTACTTTTTGTCTGAGGCTGAGTTCAAACTTCTCAGCGATGCTAATGGCTTCTCTCCGATTGATGGTGTAGAGTTTCCGTCAACTGACTCGACGATCCTTTCTCCTCCTTCAGGCAAAGTAGGCATTTATCTGAAAACCATTAATAATTGTCTGTGCCTTCCTCTCAGCGACTTTTAGGAAGAACTTCTTCAGAGTAACTATTGTAGCATCCAAATGCTCACTCCGAACACTGTCAACAAGGTGGTGGCATTTGAGATGATTAACTGGGCAAACAAAGTGCTTCCTAACTACTTTGTCTTCAAGTTCTCCTTTAGATTCAGTGCTACAGGTGATAAGTACACATTCTCTACTCGACATGGGGTCCATGTCTTGGTTCCTAATGGTAAAACTCCAAAGAAGTGGCAAGAAAAATGGTTATGGGTTAACCAGGATCGGGTCGGTCGTTACTGGGCGAACAATTTCTCTGACGTCACTCCCAAACTATATGCTCATAATCAAACTATCAATGATCTCCTAAAGACCATTTAGGTCGTGCCTGAGGAGTACTCAGAGGTTCCGCTTGTTGGGGTTGGGATGAGACCTTCTTGGAGACGCTGGGGGAAGATGCCTATCTTTTATATCATTATTGATGGTAGGTAGTTCCGCCTTTTCTTCTTTTCTGTTACTCTTCCTTTTCTCTCCCCCCCCTTGGGATTTGCGTGATGGTGAACTCTTTGAGAGGTTCGACGAGCCTTGGTACAAATTTGATATATTTCTCCACTTGTTTGTCTCTTGCTTCAAATTCTACATTGATCTGGTTAGCTGCTAACCTTTAATCCGTCAAAGTTGTCATCATGTCTGTGCCCATGTGTCTTGCCAGTCGCAGGTTGTCAAGTAAGGCCTCGTAGTCTGCCTCATTATTAGAGGTATAGAAATCAAAATGAAGGGTTTAAGTGATTTCCTCCCCCTATAAGCTTGTTAGGATCAGGCCCGACCAGATCCTTCTTTACTAGATGCTCCATTGATCTATAAGGTCCACCTTTTGCCATCCTTTGGTCGGCCCGTACTCGATAATTCTTTCTTCTGGGTAGCTGCTTTTCACTTCATCTGGAATTTCAAGAAAGAAGTACGTTAATGCCTGCCCCTTGATGTTGATACATAGGCGATAGCTAATGTCATGTTCCCCCAACTCAATTTCCCATTTTCCAATCATCTAGACGTTTCTGGATAGAGTAGTATTTGTTTGATCGGGCAGTTCGTCAATGCCTTTATCTGATGTGCCTGGAAGTAGCACCTCAAACGTCATGCTGCATAGATGAGTGCGAGCACCAATTTCTCAAGGATAGGGTAGTTGGTTTATGGGTCATGTAAGGCTTAGATGACAAAATAGATCGGTACTTGCCTCTCTTCTCTCTCTACTACCATTGTTGACGAAATGGCTTCATCTGAGGTTAAGAGGTATGATGTAATGTTTCACCCTGAGCAGGACTTACCAGTGTGGGAAGTTTGAGTAGGACTTCCATGATCTGCTATAGTGTTGTTTCTGCTGCCGGTATCCTTTGGAAGTTGCTTTTTCAATGCATCCTTTAAGGGCATGGAAAAGTGGCATGGCTTTCTCCGCTGACTAGGAGATGAAATGGTTTGGGGTTGTGAGTTTGCCATTCGGCCCTTGGGTGTCCCTCAGGGTGTGTGAGGACGGTATTTAACATCGTAATTTTTCAAATAATTTTTTTCACTTTAAAATCACATAAGTCTCATCAACACGTATCACAATATCCCAAAAATGTCAAATTATCAAAAAAAAAAAAACATGTTTATAGTCGTTTGAATAAAATCCAGGATTCTCAGAAACATAACTCCATCTCGTGTGTACAATCAAGCCGATGCCTACCCGTGATCCTGAGAAGTACCTAAAGCACATAACACAAAACATGGTAAGCACAAAGCCTAGTGAGTCCCCGAACTACCACACACATCTCATTAGCCTCTCGTAGCTATATCTTGAACAAGACACTCCGGTCAATGTGTCTCAGTGGAACCCTCCGGTCCCACAACTCGGGTGGACCCTGTGGTCCTATCTCAACAATGCACATGATAATATACAACATCAATATCAAGATATAATACATGATATCATATGTCTCAGTATAAGGACATAAGATTAATATATACACATAATACTATAACAACATAAGTCACAAAGACAATATGCATAATAACACACATCACATTAAAAACAAATAAGACCCTCCGGTCAACAATGTACTAAGACCCTCCGGTCAACAATGTACAAAGAGCCTCCGATCAATAATGTACTAAGACCCTCCGGTCAATAATGTAATTAATACCCCCTGGTCAATAACACGAATAAGACCCTCCGGTCACACGTAAATTACCACACGGGTAAGTATAGTGAGAAGACTCACCTCAGACGACGATCAGCTCCTATAAATGTTGTTGTTGTACTCCGGCCTCCAACATTGAGCCAAAACCACAATTAACCCTATTAGGATCTAAGACCAAACCTTTAAATATTAGTTCTAAATATGGTCCACCAACCCGACCCATAAATAACCCAAGCCCAATACCAAATGGGTCCACAAAGTTCCACTAACAGCCCAACTATGGCCCGATTTTCCAAATTGGGCCAAAACCCTCATATGGGCCTTACTGCAAAGCCCATCTAAATATTCTAGTCCACATGATTCTTCTTGGATGGCCCATCAATAGTCCAATCACCAAAGCCGAAAAGAAAGGCCCAACTTAAGGCCCAAGCAAAATTAGGGTTTTCATATAAAATGATGATTATGGTTGAGTGTTTCTCACTTAACCCATTAAGGACTTTACCCATTAAGTCCATCACTCCACTAGACCATTCACACAATGAAGTTGGAGATAATTCACAATATCAATCTAAAAGTCCAACCGTGGATCCTGGCAAAATCCAATCTAACAAACTCAAAATTAGGGTTTTTTAAACCTTAATTAGGGTTTCTAGCCGAATCACCAACCAACTAGTCAAGATCAATCAATTGGCCCGATTAGGGTTTCACTATGTCAAGCACCACCCACTACCACCTCGGGTAGTGGTGGTTAGTGGCGGCTCACAACAGCGACCGCCACCTCATGGGGTGGTGGTGGGTTTTCCGGCCACATAAAGATACATACAACCTAAAAAACATCGAAAGCAAAAAAATGCACTCGAACACACCCATACACACATCCATAACCACCTCTAGTGATGGCTGGTGGTGGTGGAGGGTGACAGAAAAAGCAATGGGTTGTAGCCACCACCTCACGGTGGTCGTGGTGGTGGGCTTTCGCTAGTTTTTCCGGATATATAACACACAAAGACCCCCCTAACAACATCATAACATCTTGGAAATACTCAAAACATAATGTCCGACAACTATTTTTAATGGCTAACGTCGTCGGAATACACGGATATGGCGGCTAATAGGCGGCGGCAACCACACCCGATACACCTGATGTCAAACCTCTGGAAGAAAGAAGAAGAAGAATGGGTAAATGGGTGGTGATCTTTCTTACAGAGAGTCCCCTTTTCGTTCACGAATCGCATAGTAACGTCCCCGCTCCAGCAAACAGGCACGGTTGTTCACCCGACTACCACGACATATCCGACTTTAGGGTTGCGTTTTCGGTGGCAAAGTGGTTGTTGGTGGAGGGTGGTGCTCGGTTATGATAGGGGTGGTAGCTGAAGGTGCTTCAATTGATGGTGGCGGCCGATGGTATAACGATTTAGGGTTAGGGCTCCAATATCCAACGTGAGGGAAGGAAAAGAAGGATACGGTCTTAAACCTGTGTCCAATTCAAACTATGCTACCCAAACATACACTTTTGGTCCCTCCCCACTAAATTATTTTCAATGTAAATCCAAAAGTTATCCTTTAGCCCTTGATTCCATAAATTCCTTTCATTTTAGGTCGAAACTTACCATTCAGCCCCTAAGCCTCTCAAATCTCTTCAAATTAAGTCCCAATAATTTACCAAGTTCTAAAATTGTATCAATTGGCTCCCCAACACCAACACCCTGCTAAATATTATTTACTTTAGGATTATTATTCATATTAACCCTTATCTATTTATTTATTTAATATACGAGATGTTACAACTCTCCCCCACTTAAATTTGATTTCGTCCTCGAAATCTTTCCTCACCATCCCTTACACCCCTGACAACTTGAACGACATGGCCACAAGCTCGAGCATAACCCCAGCCGTTCAATCCAACAGAGCTATCTCAACCAACCGCATGTACATGAAACCATTAAGTTCGCTTTACTCCAAGCTATATTACAACCGATCTGTAGTCTCACATCATTTCTGACCTTTGTCATCTAACACTCACTAACTCCATACGTGTTGTGGTCCTTATCAAACCAAACGAACTGACCCTACCAGGTCTAGAACATCAGATGCAAACAATAACCACTCAAAATAAAATCCATCAGGAATCTAAAATGTCAACTCATCTATCCTTTACATAAATAGAGCCAAACTCAAACTCAAGAGTCTGGTTCGGCAGCAAAATTGGAACCACTCATATCCAATCTGGTACTCAACTCATGACCCATGATCCGCGAATCTATGTGTACATTACTTCTCCAATTCCTTCCGACTTGCGACAGTCTCTCCCCAATTTGAGATATAACAGATCCTGAACATTATGGAGACCCCAGTCTTGCCCCTGGCCCGACCACTAGGTTCCTAAAGACTCAGTCATCAAGGCTACGCATGCTTAAGAACTCCTACATGTCACGCTCTGACTAGTGAATACTATGGCTCCCCGTAGTTTATAAACTCTCTCTTATTAATTAATGAGTGCTATGGCTCCCCGTTGTCTTAAGACACTCCCTTGTTGACTCGCAATTGCTACAGATCCCTGCAGTCTTACAACACTCTCTGACTGACTCATGATTGCTACCACTCCCTACAGTCTTACATCACTCACTCACTCGCCATGGGGTCACCCTATGGTATTTCCCCTATAATCCTAAGTGATTACTCCCACCTGGAACCCTCCACTCTCTTATCACCCCACAATCTCATCATTAAACCATCACTATAATGCGTTCGCTAAACTCATGCTTCACAATCCATCATGGATAGGTGAACACACCCACCCAGATTAAGCATCACTACCCCTAACAACAATCGCTGCTAGAAAACACATTCCTT